GAACAACTCTCGTGCTTCTTGCTGTCGAAGTGGAAAAACCTGTGCACGAATACGCGAAATCAACTCATCGATGCCAGTTGGAGTCAACAACTTCTCCAATCCCATGTCTTGTGCTGCAAGGTATGCATCACCTCGCAGGCCTTCCAACACCTTGTGAACAAGTGTTGCATACTCTGCTCCATCATCATCCAGTCCGGCAGTGCTCAGAGCTGGTTCTTCTTCGTCCACCACGCTCTCGGACTTCGGGGTTCCAAAAGCTTCAAGTCGTACTTCTTCATCCTCCGATACATCCCCAGCCTCGGTCGCATGAGTCGGCCTCCTCTGAGAACGTTCTGGTGTGGCTGATTGGCTTCCATGACTCGAATAGGTCTTCTCTGACTTCTTCTTCGCATGTTTCTGCTTGTACAAAGCAACGCGGACCTTGGTGCGAAACTCCCATTCGAAGAAACCATTTGGATTGCCACTGTAGATGTATGATCCGCTCTTCGTCTCCTGTGGTCCTGAGATACTTCCTCCATGGGATGTGCACCGCAGGCCGGCCAGCGACATCGCAACTCAACAAGTTTCGCAAAGCACTGGAATTACAACGGTTCAACGGGTTCAACGGATTGCGCGCAGGGTCACGCAATTGGGTTCAACGGTTGGATCCAGCGAGTCTCCCCGGGTGAGTCAGATCCTGAGGGTGCCCCTTCAGAACCTGCTCCGCTACCAGTTTGAATCTCGCACGGTTCCTTTTCGCAGCAGCGAATCGACTCAAGGGCCCTATTTAGCCGAGACAGCAGCGGCGGTGCATCAACTGTACGCAATACACCCTGGCTACAATCGGTAAAATTCACACAATATATTATGTTATATATTACTATTAGCATAGTAGCATATTTGGTGGTGGGGCATTGACCCAGTGCTGGCTGAGGACTTTCAAGATGTTCAAGTGTTCAAGTGGCTGTTTTCTATCCTGCTGAGGGAGTCGGGAGGCACTTCTGAATGTTGGCCACGAGTGATGGGCGCAAACTTTGCCATCCCTCACCCTCTAGTCGGCTGCGATTGCTCTCGGCCTGCGGACTCCATAGCATCTAGTGCTTGTAGGACCTGCACTCTTGGGGTGAAGTAAAGTGGCAAACAGAAGCCAAGCACTTCTGGGCTTCCCGCCACGAAAATCAATAATATTTTGGCCAGTGGCTAGGTACGAATTCTCTCAACTAGCAGCTCAACCTTTCGAGGTGCTGGGATCAAACCAGAACTCGTGAACACTGGGTCTGAAGGGGTTGGCCTCTGGTACCTGCATCCATTCTCCACGATATTCCACTATGCACCTGCCTCTGACAACATGCCACAGGAGCCACACCTGCTGAGCCTCGAGCCCCACAACAATTTTGCAAGAAGTATGGATTCTGACTCTTGCAAAATGTGGGTCAAACCGTGCACTACCTTAATCTGAGGTTGCTGCAGTTTACTATCTGGGAATTCTCCTTTTCCGCGGAGCTGCTGCAGCTGTTGGCGGAGTCGCTTGTGCTCCTGCGGAAAGCGCAAGTGGTTGCGCAACTGGTTGCACAGGCTGTGACAGGCATGTACACCCAAACTTGCGCATGGGAAAAACATTTCAGCGAGTGGGTGGATGCACCGGTGGCTGTGCAAGTTCTGAACAAAAGCATGTGGCAAACATACAAATTTTTGAAGATCCGAGTGCATGCGTCCAGCGTACTTCTGCTGCGCTTGCAAATGCCTAAAGCTTTCAGCGACAACTACCACGCCAGGATGTCAACCCTGCTTGTTCGAGCGCACCCTCTTTGAGCAAACGTTTTTGCGGCGGGGCATCCAGAGCAAGAGAAAGAAAATGTCATGTTTGGCCGTTGCCGCACAGTTGCACAGCTCATCAATGAAGGAACGACTTCGATTCACTTCGATGATCTTCGAAGGATCGTATCCACAGCTCAGGAGCGATGATGGTAAACATTCTGCCATGGCCATGACATGTTACGTCAATATCCTGCCCCACCCTTACCCTCACCCCATCAACTCCCCTGCTTAGTGAAGCACCTCCTCGCGAAAATATCCTCTCTCCCCATTGCAAAACAAGGTTCGTGAAAAATATCATATGAGTCATACGGTCTTCATCGCTACCTGCTCGGAGGTCCCTGTTGCGAGGTCCTCTCGCTCCACCAGGCTCAATCTTGCGCCCTCCCCTAACTCGTTCCGATGGACCATCAAGGCGAGACATTCTTTTGAGCGGAGACTGGCAAAGAGTGTACAGGAGGCTTCTTTGTTACTGTAGCTCTCATGTTCATGTTCATGTTCATGTCACACACCGCCATCCACGAAGCAAGAGAAGCAGACTCCAATCGGCTCCTTGCTGTAGCTCCGGCCCTTTAGCCTGAACTCCGTCTCTTTGTACGGAGAAACACCTTAGCAGCTCCATTGCAGTCACACCACCTCTATGACTCTAAGACTCCAGTACATGCACCCTCTCCCGGTCAACGACTAGCTGCTTCCAAACATCTCCAGCCATGCCAAACCAGAACGCCGGCCTTGGATATCGCAAACAGCCGCAAAAACGGCTGGGCACTCCGTGGACGCCCCAGCTTTAAACCCAAAGGTGCCATCAACTGTTCGGCCTATGGGCTAGGCTAGGTCCATGAAGTTCCTGCAAGCCCCCTTCAAGGCAGAACGTTTCTATAAAATCAAAGCTCGGCAGCTGGAAGGGCTGGCTAAACATTGCAAGTGTCCTGTGGCAGTTGTGATAGCTACTTTGCGAGGATTGTGCTGTCTTGGCATGTCTATGTATGCCCATTCAACACATGGAAACCACTGATAAAAAGAGCACAGGTTGATTCTCATTGCTGGCAGCAAGCTTGATGAGGTAGGAGTGCTGCGAGCATGCCAGCACTACCCATCCTCCCAGGTGAAATTTCTATGCCTCTAGTGACTCTAGTGTCCATACCATACAATGTATAGTGACCCAATCTGCAACCAAAAGGCTAGATCCACTTGGCCTCAGCAACCCCAAGACTGTGTTCCGCAGTTCTGCTGTAGCCGCTCGCATAACTGTCACAGGTCTGCAATAGATCAAGGGCCAAACATTGCAGCCTTGGCAGCCTCCGAGCAAAACATAATCATAACGCTGCCTTGAAAATGTTATACTCTCCGCCCCGAATGCATTCTTTGTTTGTGCTTGAGGCTCAAGGCGTGCCGTGCATATTTCAATCTTTCGCCTTTATATATATATATATACAAATATATAAATGGAGTCCAACTAAGGACATGTTCAATTGAAGCCTTGCTCTCGAATTGGTTTGCCGGGCGCTTCAGTGATGACGGGCTACTGCACACGAAGTTACCTACACGGGGCGCACCTTAAGGCATATTCCTGAGCAGCTTCTGAGCAGAAGAGGCCTTAGATACCACAAATCCCCTGGAGAACGGTTTCCGAAGCAAAAAGCTTGTGCAAAAGCTTTAAATTTTGTGGATATTGAGAGTTCGCAGCGGGGGTATGCTTGGGAGTCTGTTCGGAATCTGTTCGCACTTGGCTGAGAGGATCCCCAGTGTTGCTTAACAGTTGTCTAGCAGGGCATACATAAATGTTGCAAAATGTCGCTTTGACTGATAACTCCAACAGCGCCACTTGTTGCTGCAAAGTGGTTTCCATCTTTACCTTTAAAAGGAATGTCATGTAATGTAATGTAGTGTAATGTCGGGTCCTAATTAGTCAAGTGGGACGGAATAATAAAAAGTTGTCCCAAAATTATTCAGACCCCTGAATAGTTTTAGGGGGACGGAATAAGAAAAAGTTTTTTGCCCAGTGTGTTATTTTTAGATTTGTCTTGTCTATTGAGTCTATTGATTTAATTAGACCACCACCACCACAAACCACTTGTCAAGAGCAACTTTCTATTGTTCTGCTATTGCTGGCCTTTCAAACCTTTAAGAAACTCTTCTGAGGTTTGCTTGAATCATGGAACTCTGACCGTCTCATTTTTGGCCGTCTCATTCTATTGAGACCCCCTCGATTGTTTGCTAGGGGGGAGGAGGGTCCTTTTACTAATTAGGACCCAACATTAGTCTAGTCTAGTCTAGTCTAGTGTAATGTAATGTCATGTAATGTAGTGTAATGCATGTATGTATGCGACGGGAGCTGTCCATACTGCTCCATGCACAACTAATCCTTTTCGCCAGATTTGTATTGTTCAAGGACCGTGCCAAGAAGTAGATGCCAATACTCGAAAATGGGACAACATATTATTTGGATGATTTGTGCTTCAGATTCTCAAGCCATGTCAGTCCATGTTCTGTTGCTATTGTTGTGTTTTGAGTCCCTTAACTTGGCTTGCGGGTATGTCCAAGTCAGAAGAATGCATCCTAATCCTGACGAAATGATTGTTTACATATATATATATATATAATAGTTCAAAATCCTGCAGAGCTCACCCCCAGACAGCTCGTGAATGCTTCCATGCGTTCTGGCTCAAAGCGGCAACACATGACAGGACAATGTCCACATTTGAGAAATGATGATGGTGGGCCCTGGCATTCTTAGTGCGTAGGCTTCGTCATAACTCCCTCCACGGCCAGCCTGCCGGCCCTCTTTTTTATCCCGAGCTGCCACATACGACACTAAGACCCATCTTCAAGTTGGGAAGTCTTGCGGGGTAAAGACATAGAGCAGTGCAGTGCAGGGGGCACGCCAACTTCTCACACTCACCTCTTGCATGCCGGTGAGCCTGCCTGCTTGATCACTGCATGCATTCAATCTTCAACTTGCTTTTGAATTCTGGGGGGTCCCTATGAGTTCTTCTACATACAAAACCTCACCAGTCTCAGTGGTTAAAAGGATTAAACTGATTTAAAGGACCTTTGGGTCGTCACCCTACTGTTCTCAAGTCCCACCACCACAATGAGAAGACCCTACACTGAGAAAACTGCCCAGAATGTCAAGGTGAGGAAAGAAGCCGCCGGTGCATGGGTCGCTCAATGCCAGCGCAATGCCGGCGCATCCCTCATGCTCCTCATGCTTCCTGCTTGGTGTGCTGCTCCACGAGGACTTTTTGCCCTGAGACTGAATCGTATCGAGGCGGACCACGGTGCCAGACACCTAGAACTAGAACTGTCTTAAAATGTCACTAACCATTGTCAAACATGCATCTGCAGCATGCATCAGCATCATGATTCATGATGCATGGAATGCATGCGGTGAATTGCTGGAAACTGTTTTGTCAATCTATCCGCAACTGCTCCCACGTATGGGATGCACTGTAGCCCAAAAGAAACCACTTAGCCTTCATGGTGTGATCATTACCTCTACCCCTGTTGTGTAATAAAATCCTCTGCTGGCAAGTGAGTGTTTCTTCGTGTTTTCTAGGGGCTGGGCGTTTGGCTTGCAGACGTTCTCGATAATGAGTCGCTCTGGCACTGAAGAAGCCATCAGCATCCTCATCATCCTTCATAAAGACGCGGTCCTCACGGAACTCGTGGGATCCGAGCAGCCCCAACGAGACCGAGGATCGACCTGACCTCCAACGATACGCGAGCATATCACACACTGAGGTGTTCATCTAAACCGTTGGACTTAGCCAATGATCCTGCACAATGGCTAAGCAATCGGTCGACCCAAGTCCTCCTCGCTCTTCAGGAGCCGCAAGCTATCATAGCGGAAGGTGTCCAATTCCTTAACCTTAATGGAACGGTGCTCGCCTTGCCGGGTGAACTTGTGGACCAGCCCACCACTGCTCGACACGAATCTGTTTCGGCGGACGCCAGGCCGCCGAGACAGTCAGATATCGTCGGATAGTCCGATATGCTGGCTGTGAGGCAAGGGGCAGGAACTGGTGGGATCGACACCGTCTGCAGAACCATGAGCAGGTAGTCCACATCCGGCTTTGCACCCTTCATTGGCCTGGCATGCCCCGCCCCATGGAAAATGGGTGTCTGCACACAGAATGCTGGCTTAGACAAACAAAAGGCTGGGTCTAGGTAAATAGATGCGCCCCACCTAAGACGACTTGCAACAAAGAACTCACAATGCACAGAAGACACTTTAAGCATACCCGTGTATCTATACATATATATATATTATATATCATTTACCATGCATATCTAAATACAATATACAATACATATCTGCTCTATTGTACATTTGTATTAATTCATACTAATTCTATCCATATGGAACATCTCTGCACACGTCACGAATCACAACATCTATACAAGAAAAAGAAAAGTTACTCTGATTAAACTTGATTTCATCATCTCGTTGTGCATGGCAATGCTGTTTCAGTGACTCAGGTGACTAGTTGTCTTCGCATTTGGTCTTCTGTGCATTTGTGCGGTAGGATGAGCTTTCGGCAAGGGCCCATTCAGCCTGGAGGGCAGCACCGCCAACAAATCTTGTAAGCACTTGGGGATCATCACTGGGAGTTGAGCCTCCTGGCAGATTCTCAGAACATGATTGGGTTTCATCGAGGGCTTGGTGGCAGAAACTCTATGACCGAGAAATCATAGCTGCGTTGAAGTGTGACTTTGGTTGTACACAGAGCCCGTCGAATCACCATTTCAGAATAAAGCAGGGTTGCTAAAACAGCTAGCTAACTCGTCGCACCTCTGAACTGAAAACGAGACATATGATAACATGATACATGCGCAACCTGTCTCGGAGAGTTTGAGGAGCATTTGAGGACTGAGGGGCATCTGATTGTCCAAGCACTTCATTGCGCCAATAACGTGAGCCGGGAGGAACGTGGTGCTTTCCATTAACTTGATTGAACTCAAAGCTTTCCAAACAAACTTGGCCCGCACAAGGGGCTCAAAGTCGCTCCTCGCCCCGGCGCTCCGTTGGAATTCCTTCCACCTGCCGCTTTCTGCTGCTGACCACGTCCAGCGCGGGCTTGAAGGCCAACATCTTCCTCGTTTAGACCGAGCTGCCAAAAGTTGCTGAGGCAAAGTGGGGGAGCAAGCAAAAGGAATTGCAAAACAGTCAAATGCTGCATCCTACAAGCCTCCAAATCCAGACAGAATCCCACAGCTATACCACGAAATAGCTCCATGTACGTTCTTTCATAACAGTCTACCTCAATTAGTACATCTTGAAACTGTAATATATATATATATATATAATGACGCCCGACTAGATAGAAATGCAAAAAGGTCAAAAACCAGGACCTATAGCCGACCGAGCTTTTTGCATTTCTATCTTTGGTTTTTGCCCGCAAAACACAGCACAAGTGACTTATTTAACAAAAGGACCGCCTGACCGAGCACTCAAAATATTTCTATCTAGTCGGCCGTCGTTATAATTATATAATTGCAAATGCCACCCACCACGGTAGATTTTTTGCCTTTTTTATCATTGATTTTTGACATCAACTGTAACAGTGGCCCTTATCCAAGCATCGATGTGTCCGGCCGCGCCACTTGGGAGGAGAAGCCAACAGCAGGCGCAGCACCCAAGCGCTGATTCTCTGCCTCCGCATCAGCCACTACTTGATCCTGCCAAGCAACGGACTTCTGGCACAACCATTGCCAGTCTTTGGTTACAGTTGAGCATCAACCTCGCGGGCTGGCCCACCTATTGTAAGTCTACGCGGCACTCTGTGGTACCCCAGGAAGCTCAACGCACCATTTGAGACTGAGACGCATGTCGCCCAGGACCCCAAAAAACAAACGAAACTGCAAATCCCGCTTGAGGCGATGGAAAGGCTCTGCTTGCGGAAATTCGGGTTTCATTTGTCAAGGAAACGTAGCATCCAACATTGCAGTGCTCCTCCAACTCAACGGCTAGGTGCAGGTTCACTGCAAGCTCTGGGCGAGACCTATTGGGAAGTCGCACTGCTGCCATCTGAAACCAAGGAGCAAGGACGCTACCGCTACTAGGAGCAAGGGCATCGCTACTAGGAGCAAGGACGCTCCAAGCTCCTGGCCTTACTACTAGGAGCAAGGTTCGCTACTAGGAGCAAAGGAGATCGTTTCAGTTTTCCACGTCTGCTGCAACACCTCGGCGTTCGAAAGCTCTCAATGTGAGGACTTATGGCTTCACCACACTTGAACCTGATCTGCTTGACACTCGGCCTTGGCACCAAATGTAGGAATCGGAAGCTCTCTTCGACCTCCTGAATGCTCGTTGACCTCAAAAGTCCATGGGCAGCTGACCTCTATCAAAGGAACTCGAAAACCAAAAAGGCCTGCTGTGTGTTCATGTTTTTCCTTTTTTAGCCCGTGGCCCTGCCTCCTTACTTCACTAAGTAGGTGCCTACTGAATTATATAAGTAAGGGAGAAGTTCGCTCCTAGATACAGGATAGCTCACACTTCTTCAAGGAAGCTCCCCCCACCTGAGAGCGGGGGGAGCTTCTTTGAAGAAGCGCTCACACTAATGATTTGGTTCCTGGACTTTTAGGGAAACTTGCCTTTCGATAGTTCCAACAACAGCTATCCTGACTTCAGAACATCTTTGCAAAGCCATAACTGTGGATCCCGACAAGCCAAGAGAGATTGGTGTTTGCAAAATATTCTCTTCATCAACCTCAAGGTCTCGTTGGAGGTTTCGATATTCCTGGGCAGGGCAGTCTCACAAACAAAGCCACGTCCAATCAAAACAAAAATATCCACTAAGCACCGAAATAGAATCCTGGTGTGCATTGCAGATTATAAAGTCAAATGCGCCCCTGTGTCTCCAGCATGCCGGCCCCAACAGCTTATCTTGAAATTGGCTGGAGTGTTCTCCCTAATCTCTCAGTACCAAGTGTCAGAATCTCTGAACGACGTTGCACGGCGCACCGCTTCGGCATCGCCAAAATAGTTCTCGAGCCTCACCAGAGGATCTCAAATACTTCTAATCATAAGGCCATGTTCAAAATCAATTGCTGGCCTGGCCCACTTCTGCCACAAAAAGGCCAAGCTTTCCCTCATTGCTCGGCTCTCTTCGCGGTTGGCGAGTTTGTCCCTGACTGCCTCGACCACTTGCAAGTCCACACATGATTCGAAGTATTGCTCTCAATGTTGGCGGAATTCTGGAATAGATTCGGACCTCAATTGACGCCCTACCCATCATGAATAATGTCAATGGAGAATGGAGGCACCTGCTGCAGCTTGTCCAGGACACCTTGGGTGAGCTCTGCCCGTGCGCTGCGCAAGTCGTTGCAGCCTGCAAACGATGCTTTACCATATTCTGGAACAGCATGGAACCGTTTGCAGGAGTTTGGAGCCTTTTTCGTGCGGCTTTTAAGGTAGTCCAAGGAGTGGAACCAGTGTCACGTCAACACATCACTCAGTTGCCCGCGTGTCATTTGCTGGGTACAGTGGTTAGAAACAATGAATGCCGCAGAAAGAGCGGTTAAGCATGTTTTCACCTCGCATCGTCCACGTCCTTCGCATCCGCCCCACAGCCTATGAGGAAATTCACATAGGCAGCGAGAAGCGATGGCTCTCGGTCACCGTAGCGTTCGAGGCCCAAACGGAAAACCCCCGCCGCAGCCTGCCGGCGAACAGAGTCCAACAATAACTTTCAAGTGCATTCAAGCGATAGCGATCAAGAACAAGCATGCTCGGATGAGAATCCTATCAGAAGCTTGTTTTCCTGTTGAACTGAAGGATTGCGTCTCCAAGAAACGGCACAAACAGCCAAGAAAACGTCGGAATTCTTGTGTAGGGCGCTTCGACACGAATGGGTTAGTACGGAATCCACACTGCCACAGCACATGCAAACATAGCTGCAACATAGCATGCATAATTTAGGACCAGTTCAAACATTCACATGAATATGCATGCAGGAAAGGGCTCGAGCTGCATGTCAGTCGAAGCTGCCTCGACTGCGCCATAGACATGGTACTCGGTCATGGCTGCAAACACATAGACCTTGCAAATTATACAAATCAACCGCCAAACCCAAACTACTGACTTGACCGATTTGGTGCGGGGGGTAGCCTCAGGAAGGTACCCGAGGGTACCCGAGCGTGTTGTACAATGTCTTGTTGAACGGCATGGGTCAGAACAAAAATCAGGTTCCCCTTGAGCACAAAATGGTATATACAGTATACAGGACCCGTGAACCTCCAACGCTTCTCTTTGTTGACTTAAAGGTTGACGGACGAACCGACTCTCACCGCCAAGCTTGAAGTTGACCGAAGACTGTTGGAATGGAAACACTGTGGCACCACCATGCCGCATCACCACGAGCCTCCCAAGTGCAATGTGGTGATGACTCCGTGGCTTCCAGGAAGGTATCACGGAAATCATTGGCCCCGCGTTGCCTTCTGACCTCTGGAAACCACTGCCGCAAACATGCCATGATGCGGACGTTTGTCTCGTTAAGGTCCTGCTTGGCCTTGCGCCTTTCTCGTCTGTCAGTGTTGTACATGGCATTTAAATATCGACTCCTTGGACCTCTATGCATAGTAACAAGTGCATCGCCATTAGTAGCAAATCGCTGCTAGTAGATGCTAGTAGTAGTGCCCTTGTTACTAGTAGCGATGCACTTGTTACTATGTATGCACTGTAAACATGCGTGCAACAGGGTGCAACGATTGACAGCCAGCCAGCTTGAAAAAAACAATTACATGTACTGAACATTGTGCATGTGTCCCTGTGTGTGTACCCCTTGGAATCACAGGGATCCTTTTGGATTGTTCTTGCTTTTAGTTCTTCGTTTGCAGCAGGGGGCTGGTTGTTCATGCAAGTACCAGCCCAACGAAGAGGCTTGCATTGAACACTGATATCGGTGGGGACGCTCACCGACGTACCTGCAATTTTCCTTTTCCGGATGGCATGAGGCTAAGCCCAGAACCTCACTCGGCAGACAAGTACGACCGTCGTCACCCTGTCGCTTCGTCGTCGATTTGAGACTTTGGCCTCCGTTCCTCTTGAAGACCCCCAGGCTCTTTAGGGCTTTCCTGGATCTTTCAGGATTTGGGTTTCTTAGGCTGGCGTGTGGCACCGGTGTCAAGTCAGTACGCAGGTCCATAAGTGTGTTTGGCCTCGTGCCAACCCGGGATGAGCCTCCCGTGGACCCGTTGAACGGGGGTTTGTCGTTACCTCCCTTGCTTTGGAGATGTAAGTGTCCGGAGCGGACAGCAGATGGCTTATGCCTCAAGAAGTGGGATGTTTGTCTCATCTTTGGAATTCCAAGTTGGCTCATGCCTTTACGTGACCGTAGCGGTCAGAGGTGGCAGCCCTCGGGCAAGCCGTACGTGGTCGCAGCGACCGAAGCTTGTTCAAGGTTCATTGGAACCTGACCCACTCTCAGGTGCACACACATCGTACACACCTTAACGAGGCAGGTCTTCCTAGGTTGTTGCAATGAGGTCTGGGCTCATCGGTTCCCGTCCCCCGCATTTGGTTCCCTTTTCATCCTTTCCCCTTCGCACACTTCTTTTCCTCTTTCTTTTCATGTCTTCCCTTGCTTCATGTCCTTTCATCTCACTCCTTTTGTTCTTTTGCGCGTACAACGGTCCGGGCCTTAGTGTGTAAGCGCACATCTACGTCCAACTCGGGTTTCACGTCGCCCAGGTTTCGACAATGAGGTTTCATCGGTTGTCCCTGTGCATTTGGTTTCTCTTTCATCGCAACCACACACACTTTTGCCCCGTCGTCTTCCTTCTCACGTCTTCATCCTTTTGTCCTTGCTGCGCGCACATTTGCACATTGGCCCTTGCCTTAATTTTGCCCCCCCTCGGGGAGGCGTGTGTGTGTGTACTCCTTGGAATCACAGGGATCCTTTTGGATTGTTCTTGCTTTTAGTTTTTCGTTTGCAGCAGGGGGGCTGGTTGTTCATGCAAGTACCAGCCCAACGAAGAGGCTTGCATTGAACACTGATATCGGTGGGGACGCTCACCGACGTACCTGCAATTGTCCTTTTCCGGATGGCATGAGGCTAAGCCCAGAACCTCACTCGGCAGACAAGTACGACCGTCGTCACCCTGTCGCTTCGTCGTCGATTTGAGACTTTGGCCTCCGTTCCTCTTGAAGACCCCCAGGCTCTTTAGGGCTTTCCTGGATCTTTCAGGATTTGGGTTTCTTAGGCTGGCGTGTGGCACCGCTGTCAAGTCAGTACGCATATCCATAAGTGTGTGTGTGTGACTGTCCATGTGTTTCCGGTAGGCATGCAATTGAATTGGCTTTCTTTCCCCCCTATTGTTTGCTTGATTGTGTTGCTTTGTTCTCTCCTGCCCGGGCGTGCCCAAACTCCCTGGAATCAGGCTGAATTCTGAAGGGGCAGCTTGGACACGGCATGACTTCTCATGACTAGCCCCTCGTTAGTAGCTGGTAGCTGAGGGTGCGGCATAGCCCAGGAAGTTGATGAGTGCCAATGGACAGGGCCGAGGCATATCATCCATCAATTTCCTAGCACAAAAGCGGTGAGAAAAACGCAGGAGGTCCATTGAATCTGCATGCCAAGCAGCCGATATGCATCATCTGCAGCCTCTAGCTGACTACCCGGCAGTGGGCTCTCCCCGAGTTCATACCGCTGAGCCAGCAGCAACCGCAACGTGAGATCCTGCCATGGGCGGCGACGAAAAAGTGCCCACACAAAGCGCGGTTTTCCTCACAGTGGAGCAACCGCGGTGTCCTTGGGTAGGAACCGCTGAACAGCCTTCCGCAAAACTTCAGTTGCTTCTTCTTGTTTCGTACCTCAGGCAGTCAGCAAGAACATGTGGCCTGACTTGAAACACTGGTTTCTGCACACTCTTCAGCCCACAATACAAAATTGTCCTCCTTGCCAAGAAACCGAGGTCTAGCCATGCTGAGAAATCATACCACAGGTCTGGAAAGAAGCCGCAAGCTAACGATGCCTGAGCAAGCAATGAGAAAAGCATGGAAAAGCAATATTCAATGTGCATTTGGTAAGTAACCTCAAGGCCCTCAAGAATGGGATCTTCAAGTCTTTCCAGAAGGTTCAGAATTCCCGCACCTGCTGGTACACCAGCGCCACTCTCGCGGTCAGCTCTTCGGTGTCCAGCTGCAAGGGATTGGTCCGCTCGAAGCGCAAAATGGCCCGCCACTGGTCAAACCTGCCACCAACGGCAGCGCGATTCTAAGAGGCAAATCACATGGCTGCAATTCGAAGCATTGCGGAGTCACCAGGATAAAAGGATTGCGGATCTTTTTACCGCTGGAGTTGCGTCATTGCAGTCGTTGGTGGGTTAAATTTAGAATAGAATGAGAAGCAAGTATCAAATGACAGTGGGAGTAGTGGTAGTTTTAAAAAATGCCATATTAATAATAACATTAATCAGTGTTACAGTTAGCCCGCCTTTCTTTATCAATGTTCTACTGGTTTCCCGGCTGGGAATAGTGAGTGGTGATGGTGCTGGCAGCTCACTGATTAATTACCATGCATTTCAAGCAACCAAACCAGAGACAATGCATCGGGTAGTCAATGGTGGTCAGCTAGGCTAGTCCTGCACGTGCTCCAGACCCACACTGCATTGCAATGCGGTGCTTCCCCGCGAGCCGCGGACTCAACTGGAAACCACCGCATTCCAGGGAGCCACGGTGAGCCACTGGCAATCTTCTCGTCGGGACTGTGCCAAGGAGCGTTTTCCTCTGCTCCAACTCGGTTTTGGGAGTCAAAGGCACCGCCACCGCGTAGAAGTCCATATTGGCGCCAAGTTGACTAAGCTCCTGCCAAGTGGCTATCTCACATCTCAAGAAGACATGCTTCCATCAACAAAGTCTGCGAAAATCCTGTCCTCTCACTTAAATGAGATCATCAAATGGGATCTTCTCCAAAAGGGCATCAGAACGTTGGTGAGTAAACTTTAGATTCGCATTACGTGAGTCTCCACAAGTCCATCCCCTCATCCAATACATCCGAGATGCCAGGAATCCTTTGAACGAGCTTGAGACTAGCATGTCCTGTGCATAACTGCTGTCCTTATATGCCGCCTTTCCTTTCACGTAGCGAGGCAAGTGCTCAGACATGTACTTTGCTGCCATCGCAGGATTGCCCTGCAGGGCATTGTGGCTTGTTGACGTGCTGGTACTGCAGAACCCTCTAAACCGTGTAAGCTAAATACTAGACTAGGCTGCAAGGCTTGACTGCAGGTAGTCTTGGAATGCCTAAATGCCTTTAGACACACCCCAAACAAGGAAAAGAACTCCTATGACACTCTCAACTGCCCTTGACTCTCGGCTACCCTTTAAGTCCAGTGGTTTCACGACACCCTGTGGCCAATCTTGCACCTGAGATTTTTCGAACTGCTCATAGCCCACCCAGAGTTTGTCCATTGTGCTATGTGACGCTCCAGCACATCTCTGAAAAACCTTCCGCACAAAGTCCGTATCGATCCTGGCACATGGATGCCGCCAATTTTGCAAGACAAACCGGCCATGTCCGCCGCTGCCTCCTACAGGCCCATGCCTTGATGCGGCTTCATGGAGGGAAGGTATTTCAAGCTGACAGACATCCGGAAACAAACTGCTAGCGTGGGCTCGTTCGCTGGAATTGACAAGAACAAAGAGCCATAGCCCGTACGCCACCGGCTATTGGATCCTTTGGGCATATGCGCATCTCGGATCTTTTTGCCAAGGCTCTTCAGAACTTCGGAGACTCGCAGGAATTCGGCGTCAGAGATATCAGCTGAAGCTCGGCCAGACTCTTCCTTCATACACGTACTGCATGAAAGCTGTCTACTTGCACGCATCTCAAATCTTACAGTAGAGGAACAGTGGCATTGCAAAGGAAAAAAACCATTCAACATTCAAGATCGCAAGTCTTGTTGATGTCAGAACCTTTCTAAATGGCACTTCTCCACCTTGCTCAAGTCATACACCACTCTACGGAGCGCCTGCTTTTGCTTCAGCTCCTTCTTGAGCATCCGTTTGGCCGTGTCAATGGGATTGGGATCTTCTGCCAAGAGCTTCCCTTGCAGCTCTGCATCGGGATTCTCCTCTCAGGCTCAGCCCCCACGCGGCCCAAGGGCTCAATGTGTCCAACAAGTGGCCGGCGCAAGAAGGGTGGATAGAGGACGCTACGAACGGAGCAAAGGGCACTGCTACTAGGAGCAAGGACGCTACTACTAGCTCCTGGCCTTACTACTAGTAACAAGAAGCTACTAGGGGCTCCTGGCCTTACTACTAGGAACAAGAAGCTACTAGCGTGGATTCACTGAAGAACCTCTTCGTATTCTATGGGAACAATGGCTCGCCAGATCATGCCAGCACACAATGTCTCAAATTGCTTGCCAGTGAATGCTAGCAATCAGCTTTCTGGCAACACCCGGCCGTGCACCCAAAAGTTACTAAGTAGAAAAGGGGAATGTCCTTCTTTTGCTTCAAGTTGTATGCGTGTTTCAGCAGGGCGAGGTAGTCTGACCACACTGGAGCAGCCTTGGCAAATGGCCCCTAAAGTGCAACCTTCCGGAACACACGTACATTTGCATGCTTGAAGGGTGGCACGCAATTTCAAGCACGTGCTGAGCATTCCAGCTTGCCCCCCTTGCTTAGTATTTTACAAATTTTACACGACGGGCCCCATGCCAAGGCACCCTCCAGTCACTGCCCAAAAGGTCAATGGCTCTGCCATAGGAGCGCAGGACTTCTTCCAAGGTCTGATGTCGCTTTGAGAAGTTCAGATACGAGAGCCAAAGGTCCATGTTGGGCCTCGGGGTCCAATTTGTTCAAAGATGTTCAAAGTACTCACCTGAATTCAGAAGCAGCCGCCATGCCCGGGCTACGGTGCTATGAACGAAATAATGCCGGTTGCGGCCATTGCTTCAGTGTGCTGGGCTGCCTTAGGCTCTGACACCTGTTGCAGGCAACGGCTGTAAACCCCCAGCGCCATAGCAGAGTCCTGACAGTTTCCGTCGGAGGCGCCAGCATCAGTCACACCGAGCGAGTAACGGTTCAGCAGCTGAGCATCACGTGTCCTGCATTTCGCACCACTCGGCATAAGCCGCCCAAATCCGAGCAGCATATGGCAGTTGCTTCACAGCTCGCTCGAAGACCGGCTCCGCCTTCCCTTCCTGCTTTCTGCACAGACATGCCCGACTGTGGAAGAGTGCAAGGCGCAAAGAACGGTGGTCTCACCGAGTCCCAAAAGAAAAAACTATGTACATCTACGCACCATTCTTCCAAAGAACGGTGGTCTTGCTCAACTGACCCATGCAGAACTCTCGGCCTGAATGCTTTCTCGAAGTCGCGCATCCCAGGCCCCAAGGTCATAAGGATCTGCCTCGATGGCGGCTTCTAACCTTGGGCCGGACCACTATTTGCGTTACACTTCGCAACCAGTTTTGAATGTGTAGCCGAGAACATAAGCATGTGTATGTATGTATGTATGTCTGTCTGTCTGTCCGTCCGTCCGTCCGTCCGTCGGTCTGTCTGTCTGTGTGTGTGTCTGTATGTATGTATGTATGTATGTATGTATGTGTCTGCATGTATGTATGTATGTATGTATGTATGTATGTGTGTGTGTGTATGTATGTATGTGTATGTATGTATGTATGTATGTATGTATGTGTGTGTGTGTATCTATGTGTGTCTGTATGTATGTATGTATGCATGTATGTATGTATGCATGTATTTATGTCTGTATGTATGTATGTATGTATTTTTCTCCTAGAGGGCCTTTGCTACTGCAGAGTTCTCAATGCCATGTTGGCATGTGGCCGCAAAGCTGCTAGAAGTAATCCACGGTGACCACTGGATCCAGGTCCATGTCGTCAACGGTTTCCCCTTCCTCTTGTTCATCTTCAGACGTCTTGTGACCTAAGGTCATGTCTGCTTGAGTTTTCACAGCTCCTGCTTCAAGGCTCGGGTTCATGGCCTGTGCAGGTGGCCGTGATGGATATGCTGTTGGCCTTGTGCGTTGGACTCGTGCACCTGCAGGTAGGCTGGGGTTTGATTCATGGCCTGTGCAGGGCAAGGAGTCAGACCCTGGTGTGGTCAGGGCTGCGTTGAAATGGAGTCTTCTTGGCCTGAGAACTGATGGCTGCTCATCAGCAGTGTCAGGCTGTGACTGCAGAGCACCTTCTGAAACTGGTGCCTGCCTTTTGGCCTGATCTTTTGAACATCTCCCCCTTTGCACTCCTTCATGAATGCTGCTGTCTGGATAATTCCTTGCTGTCCATCCAAGTGCAGTTGCAGACCACACAGCTTGCATGAGAGCCTGTCTCCTTTCTGCCATAGATGATGGCTGCTGCGCCCTTGATGGGCGGCCGTTTAGGCTTGCTCAATGCACGCGCTGCCAATGAAGGCTTGGAAGGCTGTTTCATTGGTTCTTGTGTGGACGCTGATGCCGCACTTTTGACACCTGAGGTAGCCTGTCGTTTCTGCCAACTGGTGCTGATCAGCCGTGAGTTCTTGTTCTGCCTGCTCTGTCAGAAGGTTCTTGATCGCCTGTGCTCTTGTGAGTTTTTTTTGGCATGGCCTTGGTTGGGCTGCGATGGTCCTCAATGGCTTCCTCCAGGCTGAGCTGCGGATAGCTTGGGTTAGGCGCTCTTCCAAGACGGGGACGGTGAGGCTCTGGTGTACCCGGATGCCGCAGGCACTGCAATGAAAGCCACTCCTGTGGGGTTCCCAGCGGTGGTCCTGGTCCTGCACCTCTTCCAGCAAATCCTTCACAGGTGTTGTGGTGTGCTTGGCCAACGCCACAAGGCCTGGCTTTGGTCTGGCCTGGGGGCTGGCGGGTATGCCTGTGATGGCGCCCAATCGACCCAGACTTGACTGCGAGCATCATAGGTAGAGGGAGTGGCATCCAAAGTGAATGCCCACCCTTGGCGCTGATGGGCCGGGGTTTGCAGCGTCTGCCAGGCATGGGTGGAGCATCTGTCGGCGCTCCATGGGGCTAAAGCGGTATCCACAGGTCTTTGGGTCTCCTGACAGGTTTGAGTTTGTTCAAAACAGGCGGAGTGTCCAGGAGCGCCTCCTGGTAGGTCTTCTTGGGCCAGGATTGTCCTGGATTGGCTGGTAGATGGCGGAGCCCATGCCCTTGGCCTTTGCCTTTGCCTGTGGCCTTTTTGGCCTTCATCCACCAAGTTCCACAGCGCCTGCGTCGAGTTCCGGGCTGCAGTTTGTCGTCCCAGATCCAATTGCTGCAGGTGTTGTGGCTGCAGGCTGTGTAGCTTCTGCACCAGGTTGAGGTCTTAGAGGGTGTCACAGTGCAGGATAACTTCTTGCCAAAGCTGGCGGCCTAATGGGCAAGGTGTGTGGCACGGTCCTCGATCTGGCCTTAGAGGGAGTCAGAAAAGTAGCGCCAGTCACCTCGTGAGTGTCCAAGAAGTTGAGGCGCCGATGAGGTAGCTCAAGGGAAAAGGATGCCCTTCTTGGTGTCCTCCTCTATTATGAGCAAAGGCCAGTGCCCAGGGGAAGCAAGGGAGTCGTCAAGGCACACGCGGTGCAAGGTGGATCCGCACCAGCTGTTTTTTTGCGGTTGCGGGCACCAGCTTGAACACTCGTGTATGTATGCGTGTATGTATGTATGTATGTATGTACGTATGTATGTATGTATGTGTGTGTATGTATGTGTGTGTATGTCTGTGTGTATGTATGTGTGTATCTATGTGTGTATGCATGTATGTATGTATGCATGTATGTATGCATGCATGCATGCATGTATGTATGTATGTATGCATGTATGTATGTATGTATTTTTCTCCTAGAGGGGCCTTTGCTACTGCAGAGCTCTCAATGCCAGGTTGGCATGTGGCCGCAAAGCTGCTAGAAGTAATCCACGGTGACCACTGGATCCACCTCCATGTCGTCAACGGTTTCCCCTTCCTCTTGTTCATCTTCAGACGTCTTGTGACCTAAGGTCATGTCTGCTTGAGTTTTCACAGCTCCTGCTTCAAGGCTCGGGTTCAAGGCCTGTGCAGGTGGCCGTGATGGATCTGCTGTGGATGCTGTTGGCCTTGTGCGTTGGACTCGTGCACCTGCTGGTAGGCTGGCGTTTGATTCATGGCCTGTGCAGGGCAAGGAGTCAGACCCTGGTGTGGTCAGGGCTGCGTTGAAATGGAGGTAGAGCTTTGAGAGCCTTCTGGAGCATCCCTTGTGTCAGCGGCGCAAGTGAGTGGGCCTGCTATCTATCTATGTATGTATGTAGGTGGGTAGGTATGTATGTATGTCGATACCTATCGAACCAAAACAATATCCAAAACAAAAAGAATCACATATTATATAACACTTATCAATAAGTTGTTAATATATGGAGGACTTAGAGCTGATATACAATACGGATGTATTCGGGCAACAGTAGAAGGAAACAGCATCCTCCATGGCCTCCCAGATTGATGAATCAAGTACATGTGCACACCCCCGCAGCAGCCATGTGACCATTCTCATGTGACCATTCTTTCCGAGCCACGACTTGATCCGTGCGCCCACTGGCTGCGTGGCGATTTGTGTCCCCTGGCAGAGGGGTTGATGCACAGTGGGATGGACATAGCTCCAAGGTTTGGGTGGATTTCGTGGCACTGGAACTGGAACTGGCACTTTGGGCTGCACCCTCCAGTTGATGCAGCAGGAGCATAGGAAAAGAATACCAAAAAAAAAGGCAGCATCCGCCCACCTTCACAAGCCCGGGCAGCTGCGCCCCTGGTGGCACCATTGGCGCCGCCTTCATGGTGGCTGATGCCAAAGAGGAGCCTTCAGCAAATCGCACAAAAGAGTTACTATAGTACATGTCGAGAGTCGTCCACACAAGGTGGAAGGTGTTCCTTGCAGCAGCCACGAAACGTAAATTTGGCCACCGGTCACCAATCTGCTCACAGAAACCCCGAGGCAGCCTCTAGCTGCACGTCTTCCAAAGCACAAAAATCAGCTGTGTTTCTGTTCAGAGCTCTTGACATGATGGCTTCGCACTACAACATCCTTTGTGGAATAACCGGTGGGGGTTGAGAACCCCATTTTATAGTGATAAATGACTGAACCAGGCTCTGGGAGCACAATGCCCCACTATAGAATCTAGCTTTCAACCCTTGTAGTGTACAGCATAGTTTCTCTATAGAATAAAGGGAGTCAACCTTTAAGGCACTAATGTAACAGAATTGTAGCCTCAAAATCTGAATTATCCAATAGAAACAGCCAGGGGTGGTCCTCATTCTATAGACAAGTGGGTGTAACATCAAGGCTGACATATTGTTTTAGAGGAAAGTTACGCAGCAATGGCAAAATAGGTTGGCATGTTATTCGATAAAAACATGATTGAACATTGCAAGGTTGAAATTCATTCTATTCAAAAAAAATATTGGACAGAAAATGACACTCCAAAAACAAGATATGTCTATAGAGGTTGGTATTCATTTTATAAGGACAGGGTTGGACACTCACAGGTTGATTTTTTATTTTAGAAAGGTGGGCTGAATGTTGAACAAAAAAATCATTTTATAGTGGGCCAATATTCACCGGTTATTCCACAGGACATGTGGGAATGCATGCACCAGATTGCACAAGAATGCGCCGGATATTTCGTGAAATCAGAATCAGAATCCAACCTACCTCACTGTAAAACATCCATCCACTCTAAAATAAACTCTCAACCTTCTACTGTTCCAGGTTCTCTCTATAGAATCAAAACCATGTCCTCTATAAAATGTCCTCAATTATCATGTATTCTTATAAAATGAGGGTGATCAACCTATTGACCCATCAATATATGATTTTCTCACCTCAGAGATCCTCAGAGTGGATCTGTCTCAGGTAGGTTGACATTTGATTCTAGAAAAAACTCTCTAAAAAATGCCAGGTCATTTTGGAGCTCGACCTCCCCCATTCTATAGGGGTTATTCGGCAGAGGATACTACAACTATATGACCATATATGGCTTCATGTACTCCACACTACTCCACTCTGAGTTGCTCTTGGGTGTCGCCATGGCGATGGCTCCACGCAAAGCTAAAGGTTAGCTGACGGATTCCTGCTACTTCTTCGATGGCTGTGACTAGTGGTGATCGTTGGGGACGCCTGTCTATGAAAAGTCTGCAGGTGATCTCTGATATTAGGCCTCTCTGTCATTAATTGATGTCACCATGGGAGGCATTGCGCAGCTTAAGACGGTGCTTCAGGCAAACCTGCTAAGGGAGGCGCATGCTGAAACAGTGGTTTGGATCGGACACTGTCCTTTCCGTTAGGGTGGGGTCTGGCGTTTTAGCCTGAACCCAGGTTTTGCCTGGGCTAAAGGCTCAAGAGATTTCTAACAGGTTCTTGAGCTTGAGCTGGTGTGCATTCCATGCTTGAAGTAAAAGCAGCTGCAAACAGAAGGCCAGCGGTAGTTTCGCTTCTGGATAAGCTTGTGCCACGCTGCCCACCGTTCTGGAGTCATTGAACCCCCACACTACACACCGATCCGACAGAGCAAGTTCTGCCCCTTCTCTGCTCAGGGCTTGGGCTGGGCAGGGTGGCCCACTGGCCGGCCTCAGGATGAAGCTGGTCGTGTGCGTCGGCTTGGGTGTTGCGCAGGAAAACAAAAATCCTGCCAAGTCCAATGAAAGATATTTGCGGGCCTCCACATGGCCACATGCCGGAGAGCAAGGAAAGAGCATCTAGGTGCATTCAATTCATTCCGTTTTCATCGAACACCTGCCACGCTTGTGCGCCAAGCCATGGGGAATGGTGTTTTTTAAAATTGGGAATTGCGTCACAAGCTGGTACGACCGAATGGCACACCTTGAGCAGAGTGAGGGAAAACTGTAGAGGCTTGGTAGCTTGACCGTCTAGACAAAATATTGCCTTTGTTAGGCCGAATGGGAAGGACCCAAAAGCATTGCATTGTAATTCTACATACGTGTTTGATTCCTACCCTTGGCGACCCGTTCGGTTAAGCATGTCTTTGGTGTCGTTCGGATTTCGAACTCTTGAGCACCGGCTTCTGCGAGCATGCTTGGTGGAACTTCCATGCAAGTCAGTAGTGATGGATAGTATACTGTATGCGCCTGAGGTGACCTTACCTTGCGCAATCTACAGTAGATTGAATCTCGCAGGTGCAATCTCAACCATCACCATTCCCCACACTGTCAGTCAATTCAACCGCACGTAAGCTTTGGCCAGGCGGAGTTGCTGCGGCCGTCAATGACTCAGATGCAGCCTTAGGGCATTCAGGATGCGCAAGGCGCCGCAAGGCCATTCTGATCGTTCTGCCCTGCCCGTCCCGTTGCATTTCACATGAGTCGGCCAAGGGTGTTGGAGAGTGCCAGTAAGTAACAAATAGACTAAGCAGACTGAAGTTGCTAGTCTTGCTGAGATCGGTAAACACAGAATCGCCCTTTTCCACTCTCTGTCCAGCTGCATGCTGGGGAGCGCTTGACGTGAAACCTCTTTGAGTGGGTGACTGGACCGCATTCGCCATCTCAGGCTGCATGGGGTACAAGGATGGGGAAAAGGGCAATCTGAGCAAGCTGTACCAGCCAGGCATTCACTCAGAAGAAAGCTGGTGTTGCAAGGTGGCTGGTTTTCCCGGTCTTCTTGGAGGCTTGCTGCTCCATCGACTCCATCGAGCTCACTTTTCCCTTTTTGATCATGTTGTCGATCTTCTGCCATTGCTGGTTTTCTGTCATCTTCCTCTTTTTGGCTTCTGCTGCTGCACTCTTCTTGTTGGCTGTTACAGTGTCCTCATTCACCTTCTTCTTGTCAGCCCCTTTCTTATCTTTCTTTTTCTTCGCCTCATCCTCATCGCTGTCATCGCTATGAGTGGTCATCATAGCACCACCCATCATGGCATTGGGGAAAAGCTCATCATAGGCATCATTGCCTTAGATAGGTGAAGGCCAGGCCCCAGGCCCCGCCAGCGTTGTATCATCACATGTCAGGGCCTGTGTCACTCCGTGTGTTCGTTATGTGCAAGCATTGGCAATCACAAGTAACCCTGGTAGAAGTCCATGACGGCGTGAACCGGCGCAGGGGGGATTTGATCCAGGGGGGCCCCCCCCCGACGAACAGAATCATCTCTTACAGGACCAAACTCAATGCACAATCCCAACTCCTGATTGTAATACATTTTTGCTAAAGCAAGGAGAACTCAGGTAGCTCAAGCTACCTTTCGTGGTAAGACCGCTATCCGCTATCGGCCATGGTTCAATGATGAACTGACAACTGCCTGGACTAAGCTTCTGTCTCTCAGTTGCTCCTCCGACTTGCTACACTGCTACACACCAAGATGCCTGGATTTCCCATGCCTTGCGGTCCACTGCCGCTGCTTTTTGCTGCCTTTCTCTTCCGTGGGTCCTTCTCTTGAGGTGGGGCTGCCTCAACCTTCTTCTTGGGTGGCACTTCCTGGCACTGCAAAAGCACACTGCACAAAGCATTCTACATCACCACCTCATGGCCACAATCTCGCCATGAACCATTGACTTCCAATCAGCGGGATACGTGCCTCATAGTAGCCCAGGCCCTGCTCTCCAAGTTTGAAAACCCAATTCTTCCCTTGGAAATTGAATTCTGAATGTCGCCGAAAGCTTCGGGCATACAACAAGTCTCATGCACAAGAAGGACAAGGAATTTTGTACACTACCTTCCTGAGCAAAGCAAGACATGGTTTCCATGATCCAAGAACAACTCCTCTAAGACCTGCTGGTGACCGGCACTGGCACAGAATTCAAGTGCAGCCAAAGCACGTGCACCTTTGAACTTGCTTGACGCTTGGAAGCGGCCAGTGGGCTTGTGGAACTGGCCAGGCTCCAAGGTGGACTCCTAACACTTCAAGTAACGACAGCCTCATAGTGAACACTGAACGTCTACAAGATCCCAATTCTGAAGGAATTTTCTGGATGCTGCACCCAGACCTTACTGCCACCAGAACATGCTGAGACCTCGGCGCAACGTGCCGCTGTCCTTCTGAATCCCTATTTCTCTCTCTGCAAAGTCTGACTGAAGCTCAGTCGTCCCACAAGGACACTAAAGAAGGATGTCAGCAAACAAGAACATGTGGATGGTTGATGATGTTTGTGGATACAGTATTTTCCGTCTTGTCTCCTCCACCTCTATCTCGTCTAAATCCAGCTGCCTCTCTGGAGCTTGTCCTTAGATCTCCAACGACCTACAAGTTGCATGCTCTCTGGTTCGTCTCACGTGCAACAAAAGGGTCTCCCTTTCTTGGTTCGGCTCAGCTCACGCACAGCTGGGTACCAGTGCTCTCAAGCATCGATATTTCTCGTCACCAGCATCGTCAAAGTAAGAAGCCTTTGCCTTTGCCTTTGCACATCTGGTGCATGTGCTGGGCAAAACTTTCGCTGGTAGCGGAAGTGCACAACGGCCGGAAACTACATGGGACGGAGACTTACCTGAGATCTTATTTTCAGTACTAGTTCCACCTCGTTGAGAAGTGACAATGCTCAAGCAACTTGAAGGGATGCCTTCCAGCATGTCGTGTTGGGGGAGGTAGTGCCATGAACAACCTGAATTTTTCGGAGATGCTTTATCCCTCTCCTTGCTCTTCTCTTTGTCCTTCTCCTTTTCTCTCTTTGCTTCCGCCTTTGCAGCCTTTGCATCTTGAAGACTTTGCGGGCCTTGCTTCGCCGCTTGTTCCGCACGTGCCTTCTGGACAAATTCCTGGCAGCACAAGGGTGGCTCCCGATACACAAGCGCAAATTGAGCTTCCCTGGGCCCTCTTCAGGCCGAGACACATTGGCATCAAAGGAACCTGCACCAGAAAAAATGTCGTTGTCGCTATCCCTGGCCTGCCGGTGAAGATCCACAACATTCCGTGGCATTTGCGCATGAGGAATTGGTGGCAAACATATTGGCAGCGAAAGCATGCGCAGTGAACCTCTATGTGTATATATATATATATGCCGTAAATAATGTATGCACATACAAACTATAAATCCAGTAGTAGCAGTAGTAGTAGTAGTCGTCGTCGTCGTAGTCGTCGTCGTCGTCGTGGTGGTGGTGGTGGGACTAGTAGGGGTGGTAGTAGTAGTTGTTGTTGTCGTCGCAGCAGCAGCAGCAGCAGTAGCAGTAATGACAGTAAGTAACGGTAGTATTAGTATCAATGGTAGTAGTCGTCGTCGTCGTCGTGGTCGTCGTGGTCATCGTCGTCGTAGCAACGGCGGCTGTTGTAGCAGTAGTTTCTTACTCCTCTACATCATATTGCCGGGTGGCTCACAAAAGCCCTGTCTTTGAATTTTGACCGAATGGCCCTTTGTCTTCTCCATTTTGTCCCCGGGTGGCTTACAAAAAGTATGCTACAATGGAATGGGCCCCTGACAGCCTCTAATTCTGTTCTGTCTTCCGCCCCCAGTAAAATTCAACTTCGTTTGCAAAGACTACATTCTGCCTGTGTCTCTCTTTCTTTCTTTCTTCCTTCTTTCCTTCCCTTCCCTTCCCTTCCCTTTTATTTCCTTTCCTTTCCTTCCTTTCGACTTTTCGTGGCAGGCGTGGGAGAGCGATGTGCAGATTTCGTACCAGGTGCACTGCTTTGTGAATCCACCACCACCACCACCGCCACCACCGCCACCGCCACCGCCACTGCCACTGCCACTACCACTCCGACGAGGACAACAAAATAATCTTCTCACTCTCACTCATCATTGTGATCTTCTGAACACTGTTTGGGGCCTCTTCCCGGGATAAATTGTTTGATCCCTGCAGGTTTTTCTTTTGACCCCTGATTTTTGTTTGATCCTTATTTTTGGGAGATGCCTCTCCCTCAAGGTTTCTTCAAGGAGTTCTCAAGGTTCCCGACGCACCGAATGCGCCTTAAACTTGGAGACCTCGACCTTTTGAGCCGCATAGGCCGTGCCTTCAGAAGGCAAAAGGGTTTGCTTGCTGAAGTAGTTGCGAAGCAAACCCATCGGAGTCCTTTGCAATAATTAAGCATGTTTAGGGTTTTCTGGCCTAATCTGGCCAGACATACTGCTTAGAACTGCAACCCTTGTGCCGGACAGTGCCAGACCAGTCTAGGTACCAACTCAGGCCCGCCTGCGGCCAGATTCTTTTCCTTGCGCTTCTTTCGTTCCTCTGCTGCCTTCTGCATGGCATTTCGGACCTGGGCGGGCCAGTGGGCCAAACCGCGAACTAGCCGGTGTGTGCTGGGCGAACTGGCATCATTATATAACTAAATGATACTAAATGAATGCACTGCATATAGACATATCTCTTCTCCGCATATGTGATACGACAGGGGTGGTCAAGGTGAACCTGAGGGGATCCAGAAGTTCTGCCACCAGCAATGGAACAAACTTGCCTGCAACGGACAGCACCGGAATGCCAACGGCTGTAGAAGACATCTAATGTAAAGCAAGCAGTCTGGCAGTCTGGCCAGTAGAAGCATGACAGAAGACAAGCATGCTCTGGCGTAGCTGGTATGGCATAGCCTGTGTGCGCCAGCCTTCGATATCTCGAGAGGAGGGCATGGGCATGCTCATATATGTGCAGTGGGTTGCCTACTGCCACAATGGAATCTGGCAAGGTTCTGTCCTGAGCAGTGTCGAATGCTAATTGAATACTGGAGCCCGGGTCCCCGTTGCAAAGGAGAAGACTATGAAGACTTCACACTGTACATGCTGCTTTTAGGGCCGCTGCTGCACTTTTCAATGCAGACAGGCCACTCGAACAGCAGTCTCCGGCAGCATACCGGAGGTGAGCTTGCCTCGCTCGCTCGGAGCAATCTCCTGCGATCAACACACAAGGGGCCTTGGAAGCACACGATGTTATATGATTTTCTCGTGTTGCTCCTCCTTGCTCATGTAAACGATACGCGGGATATCCGTCTTGCCCATCTCCAGCTCCGTGTCGAACTCATAAGCCATGCGACCAGGAAGAAACATGCTTGGAGCGTTGCGAATGCGGTGGCCCTGCCCCAAGCCAGTGAAGAGCACGGCAGAATAAGACGTAGTTTGAAGCTCGTCTTGCCCGTTCTATCACCCCCGACATCATGTGGAGTCCCCAATTTCTTGGCTACTGTAAGTGCAGCTTCACACGAGATTGTGCCTGAGGACGCATATATCAACCAACACTGCCCGTAACCTGTACCTTCATGTATCTTGCCGTCTGGTAGCAGGTGCACAAATGTGGACAAACACTCCCTGCCGGCTCAATTGGGTCATAGAAGCCATTAGAGATTAACTATATACTCCTCCATGCTCTGTTTTGGCCAGCCTGTGCGATGGCTTTGCCCATCCTCTGGACGCGCTCCTTCCAATACAAAATGCAACCCTCATCAATTTTCACAGACTTTATTAATGAAATGCCGCTAAGAGAGCCAGGTGTGGTCTGCGGCTCTCATGTTGATGGCCTTGATTCTGCTTTTGGTCTACCAGCTCATGAACAGGAAGCCAAAGCTCCTTGAAGGTGCTGTGGTGCGGATGCAGCGTATCCACGACAGTGAGCCACACGTTCTTTGCCTCATTACTGGTGACAAATGAGCAAAGTACGTAACAGGTCCTCTTCTGTCCCAATGCCACACTGCCAAAAGAAAAGGCCTTCTCCGCCCGGATTTGGGAGGTAGCTGCCACAAGATCACATGCGGGGTGTATTCCTTGTCTTTCTTCCCTCTACCGATTTGTTGACCACTCCCCATCGGCCATGGCGCAATGCGGTTCTCAAAGGTGCGCTTCTTCTCACCAGGCTTGCGCTGTTGCTGCTTGGCTTTCCTTACACGTGCACTACTATCCCTCGCCTGACGTGAAGGGTGCTAACCTCAAGGTGGCTTTGTGCATTCGGTCTCAACATAAAGTTTAGGTGCTGCCAGGATTCTGGATCTCTTCTACCTTCTTTTGTTTATTCAGCTCCGCCCGGACCTTGTTCAGAAGAGCAAAGTCCAAGCCTTTCACCAGGTGCGTGTGCTCCAAATCACCTGCCATACGGACATGCTCTCTCTGACCTCTCGCCCGTAAATGGAGGATACGTGACACAGCTCCCAGGCCTCCAAGATATTTCGATTGTTCAACCGAGACTTCGCCATGGTTTTCGAACTCTGCGGCGACTTTCTCCTGATGCTAGGACAAGCATCACATCGGCCGCTTCTTCATGATTCTGCCCAAGCAAAGGTCACAACAGTTTCAGTATACAGGAGGATGCTACCGAGGCCAAAATGTTGATCCTCCGTCTTCCTCTTGTGCTTCCATGTGTTTCTGGCATTCAACCTTTTTCGACTTGCAGGCATGTGTGCCATTGTGTGGCCACGTTTGACGGACGTTTGTCCAAGGCAAAATGTTCAATCGCAGCCAGGTGACATACTCAGCTTTCAAATCACGACGGTCAGCTGCACGATCCCGGTATTTGCTATTCTCAGCCTCCTGCACACACCGTTGCCATTGGAGTAGGGTGATGACCCTTCGGAGTGGAACAAGAAGTGGCTTGCAAGCAAAGTGCACCACATGAGACAATGACCCTCCATGTTCATCACTGACTGGGGTGGTGCGAGCAACCAGGTCAAGGATCGGGTCTCTTGCTGAATGTTATTTTTAAAAAAATACGCCTCTGCAAAATCTATATAGGAAGCAAAACATTGCAGGCAAGCACAGAGGTGCACTAAGCTGCAATCAATGTGTTAACCCAAATGCCCATGCTTCTCCTCCAGTTCCTTTTCCAAGGCCTTTTGCTTGTACTTGTTTGCTCTCCTCGGCAGCGTGTGCTTGGTCATTGTCTCAGCTATCCGGTCACACTTTCTGAAGTGGATAAACTGGCTTCAAAGATTTTCTGTGGATGTTGGTACATCTTTCCGTGTTGAATTCCGACCATCTTTAGCAAAACACCAGTTCAGCTGCCCAAGCCACGCAATTCGCGCAATGGCCTTTTCATCTTTGCCTTTCCCTCCACCTTTGCCACGAGCTGAGCCTGCCACGTCCAAGGTGACATGGAACACGGGTGGATGGGGTCGTCCGACTCACTGGCCTCCGCTCGTACCCTTCGTTCTTCGCTTCGTAAGCTCCTGCACGAGCTCCCTGGCAAAGCCACAGTTCGACAGCCAAATTCATCAGGACAGTTCATTGAGTGCCCCAGCCTTTTTAGGCCGAAAACTAGTCCAGTTTCAAGGTAGCGAGGTCCAAATTCTGAACATTCCTGCTTGGAAATTGCGGGGTGCAGAATCGCCCCAATATTCACTTGACATGGCCTATGCAGGCCCCGTCTCCGCCTGTCATTGGTCGTCAAAAGCCGCTGGAAATCGGAATTGTTCATCGGCTCGTTTGGGATCAGCACACAAAGAGCTCCGCACGTTTTGCAGAATGAATGCTTTATAGGTGGGTGTGATTCATTTTGGTGCTGCCACCTTCAGCTCCGCAACAAGTTGTGTGAGGAGGTCTTGCAAGTCTGAAGTCTGTTTACAGTAAGGGTATGCAAGGGTCGTGCAAAACACTTGATACAGGGATTCTTGTTGATCGCAAGGTCACATAAGTGAATGGTGTATGTAAGTTTGGTCTCCCCTCCTGTAGTACATGGTCATTCGATCTTTCCTGTGAGCCGTTTCAGCAATCAAGTTGAAGAAGCACACATGACTTACCGACTCTCTAATGTGTTCCACCGTTTGAGAGTATATAACTTTTGCGTTCTGCGTTTCAGGTGGCCACGCCAAAGTAGCACTTCCTGGCATGATCTTTGGAAAAGCTTTGTCACCATTGATGAAAACAAGCATGAACAAACAAATTACAGGACATATGCCAGGAAACTCAACAGTGTTTCATGCCAAAAAATGTCCACCATGGATGTGGTGGCTACGTGAGTCTCTGGCAGCTAAAGCTTTGGCAAACTGCAAAGTTGCCACAAGCTCAAGCAAGGGAGCTCCCAGCCCCCCAGAGGTGCACCAGGTGTGCACAACAAAACATGCATGCTCAAGGCTGGAATGTAACAAGGCAAAAGGACCTGACTTTGGCAATGATACCTGTCTGTGGTACATCCGAGGTTCTCATATCAAAACCGCCTTTGTCGCCGTGCGCTTCAGGCACAGCATTCACACTGAAGCTTTGAGTACACTTGCCGGCTCTTTGCGAACCCTGTGCAGTGTTCCCGGGAGATGTTCGCAAGTCTCTCTGCATGGCACGATCGGTTGTCAATGTGAATCTTAACTCTTCTACATCGCTGAGAAAGCTGCGCCTCTGCTACATAAACTTTACAGTAAACATAACATAGACTAGTCGGCACATGGTACAGTATGCATTGCAATATGCAGGTGAATAAGGTTGACCAGGTTGTCAATTGAATAGTTGACACGCTATCCATGCCAGCGAGAGTGAATCATCTAGCCGCTTGAGACTTGCATGAGCCTTCAGATCTGTCCACACCATCAGTCATCTTTGGCCAGCGTCTCAGACAAACCACCATTCTCCTGCTAAACTCATCATCCACCGCTGTACTGTATCATATCCTACACCCACATCCAACCTAGATTTGGATCGAAAAGCAAGGCTTGTCAACTTTCAGCCGGGGAGGCCCAACTTCGGGTTCATGGTGAGATAAATCAGTCACGTGCCGTGTTGCACAACTCATGATGCAAGCTCGCTGCGTCCTGCGGTGCTGAAGTAGTATCCCCATCCTTGGTGTCCTGAAGCGGTTGGTATGCAGGAATGTGAGGCACTTCAGCTGAGAAACCAACTAAGTGGCTAGGTTGCTGGTCGTTGGTAAGCTGCTCTGGAGCAATTTTGGTGCCAACTCCTGGGTCCCTTGTCTTCAGCCGTTAGGATCATTAGCACACCCCTCTTTATGAATTGTGTCCTGATATCTCGTCGGACCGTTTATTCAGTTTCAAGCTGATCCTGGTCCTAAACTGCTAATTACGCATGTTTGCAGGCACAAGCAGCAACAGTTTGGAAACAAAAGCATGTACACTTTCAAGTGGCGATCCACATGCTAGCTGCTGCTAGCAAAGCCATTTGTGTCAATGAGCCCCTTGCACCTTACATACCCTTTCGTGCCTCCGTCTTCTTCCTTGATGGCGAGTCTGACCTTCCCACGCACTCTCTTGCTCAGCAATATTATGACGAGGTATGTCTCCATAGTCTATAGCTGAGGAACTTCTTACAAAACCTCACACTGCACTTGAACCACCAAGTCTTCTTGCTTCAAAATTCGAACAGCTTGCGATACAAAGAATTGAACCTTCCTCACGTGTTAACACTAGAAATGAGAGACAAAACTGAAACCACCCACTGCAGCTTAGAACAGGTCTTGTCATGAGTTACCTTTCTTCCGTTTAGGTTGCTTCAAGGATTGAGTGCGCTATCACTCAGCATGTTCAAGGCAAAAGCACCCCCGCGCTGTCGTACAAATTGCGACATGGCCTTGCTTTGGTGCCATATTCCCGCAACCTCCGTAGCTGATAGGCTTCTTGCGATTGAAATTGCAAACTTGATCAGTTGACCCACTGAAGCACACCATGGGCTCTGTCGGAGCTGGACATCAAATCAACAGCAACAGTGGGCTCAGTGCCGCAGCAACCTCCTACACCCACATGATGCACCCAAGGGGCTTCTTTCGCTGTGGACTGGCTTGCTCTCCTTCAGGTCCTGGAAGCTCAATGCATTTCGAATCATTCCGCACGCGAAAATTCAGGTGCACAGGCCTTTTGGTGGGGAAGGCGTCCCGCTACTTCTGCAGAAAAGCCTCAGTCTATGCGGAGGCAAAAATGCCGCTCAACAGCAAAGCTTCAGTCTCTGCATCCCAGTGGCAGGAGGCTACTGATGAGCAACACCTGTGAGTGGTCCAGTCTTGCGATTGTCTAACGTTTATATATATATAAAGACATATTCAGCTTTTCCATTGTTCTTGAGAGAACACATTCTACGCAAAATCAAAAGCCAGTTCCGGAATCAAGGCGTTTGTACCGAAATGAAAGGCAATACACCTCCAACTGCCGCTAACTCTTCTCCAAGCAAATGAACGGGTGCCCTGTCATATCACCCCGGCAGGAAGCAAAAAACTGAACACGTTTCATCTGACAAACCGCCATCCAAGCACCACAATGGTGATCAACACTGGAACAGGATTGTTGAAGACCTCGGCTGCGGCTAAACTCTGCTTTGAAGACTGCAGGGGTTCCCTCTGGCACATCAGCTGATCATCCACTCGTAAGTGCGCACGAACAGGTGCAAAACAACAAGATATGTAGAATAAATAGCTTTGGGCCAGGTCTTTGAGCATCATTCTTCATGGCTTTGCACAACAGGCGGCTTAAAGAGTGGATAAGGATAAGCCGTGTACTGCATGTGTGTGCATGTGTTATTTACGAGTTACTGGGAGCTTCTCTAAGCAATAGCATGAAGAAATCGCCATCTTTGCTTGATAAGGGGCCCAATCCAAGTACTGGCTGAAAAGGCTCTCGCTGCTTGCAGACTTGTCCTGCCAAAACGGCTGAGACTCAAAATGTCCGAAAAGCAAAAAAGTCTGCCTAAATCTGCTCAAAACAGTATATAATCCTACGCAGGCCGAATTGTGTACACCAAAGGGCCAACTCTGAGCATGCTTGTCATCAAGCTATATAGCTCCCGGTGGCCTGTTTTACCTCGATCTCGCTGCGAGGCTTAAAGGTCGCTTCACCAAATTCTACGACCTCCAAAACGGGGAGCCAGACAAAAAAAGAATCCGCAACCCAAAAAACGAGCGGAAATTGAAAAAATAAAAAACATGAAAACAGCGGTCTCGCCGTCTCGCAAATGCAAGGCGAGAAAAGAGAATAGAGAAAGAGAACAGATCTTTGGCTTCAGTACCTTCTCTCTTCGCAAACGCGTTCCAATCTTCAGCACCTTCTCAGGGTTCTTATCCACGACAATGTTGTCGAAAATTATTCCTTTGTCCATAGTCCAAATGTCGATGCCAATGGAATCAATGGTCGGAATCTTGTATGGGCTCTCATCCACAAAGTACTCCGGGTTGGCAATTTGCCTGTCCAAAATCTGCAAACCGATCATGAACTAGTTGCAATCTTGCTTTGCCAATTGTGGAGAAACTTCCCACCTGGGCTTCCATTCGCCAATGTATGCAGGGTTGTCAATCTTTGGGGCATACCACTTGCCTTTATAGGCTGGATTGTTGATCTTCGGAGCCTGGCGATACAGGGAGCGAGAAACTTATGAAGTGTACCGGAGGCTTCCAAGTAAGCTGAAAGTTTGGCCAGCCAGTCTGCTGCCCTAGGCCCTGCAGAACTTGCAATGAACTTGCAATTGTGCCTCCCACTTTCCGCATCCAACAGTGCACTTGGGGTTTTCAATGACAGGGGCTTCCCACTCACCTCAGTCAGCCGGCCAAACTGCTTAATTACTTACTCAGTCGGATTGAAGCTCCTGAGCCCAGTGAGGTCTAGCGACCGTCCTCTTCATCATCCCAATCATCTGGCCTGGCCCAGTGAGGTCATTGAAACTCTCGCTGTGGCCAGGGATGAAGACCGGTGAGGACGAGACTTGCCAGGGAAAAGAAGAATCATCAAACAATTCGTGTAGATACAGGTAAACGACCGATAACTACCAACAAGTCGCACCTGGTTTTCCTTGAGCCAAACGGTAGTCAAGTGAGACATGTATACGACATCCTAGCGTGAAACAACAATTCGCAAAGTGCTTGGTCCAAAAAATGGTGGAAACACCGGAATGCAATTGGTCAGGTGCAAACACCTTCGAGGGGCGCACCTTTTGGACTTGGGATCCGCCATCTTCAAAGGCTCGTCTTCCAACCATCCCGAGGGCATTGAAGCTGAGGGGTCTGGGATCATGAAAGGTGCGTCTTCATCCCAGTCATCCTGAGCGACCAGAGTCATCTTCACGCGTACGTCTATTCCAACTGCAGCCTTTTGCACATCGAAGAGCATCTCATGAGAACGGACGCTCTTGCTTGGCGGTTCTTGATACCGGGTCCCTTGGCACTTGCCTACAAAATTCAGACCACAAGCCATCGAGCAAAGCGGCAGGCTTTGAGGACTCTGGGTCATCCATCTTGGCGTTGTCCACCCAGTCAGCTGGCTTGCTGTCGGTGGGATCATCGATCTCCTCGCGTGCTTCAAACGCTTGAGGCATGCCACGGGAGCATGTGAGAAGGACATGCACACGCACACATACACGCACACAAACGAGAAGTGTTCAAAACCTTGTCTAATCAATCTGACCTTGTCTCAAGGGCCAGAAACAAGCTTCCAGACCAAGGCCCCACGACCACTCTGCACCCCACCCATTGCACCTGTGGCGGGTTCACAGGTGGCTGCATATCCTGGAGCAAAGATCCACTGAAGGTCTTCTCGCCGTCAATGCGAACCTCTACCGTATTGTCAGGACGAATCAGGAGGCCTGGCGCAGGAGGAGAGGTTTTGATGGCGGGATTCATGGCCGCAGAAGAGGAAGTGCAAGATAGGAGAGCGGTTTTGAGCACAAATATCAAACACATGAAGAAGCAGCGCTAACTCGGATGACAACTAAAAGAGTGCGAGGCCCCAACAAGAGGGAGGAGCTCCCGGTCTATTTGCGATTGCTTTCATCATTTCATCTGAGTGGCTGTAGAGGTGTGTTCGGCGCTCGCTGGGCACGCTTGGTGGCGTTGAGAGGTGCTTTTCTTCCCAAAGACCAGTGACAGGACTCCTTACTCCAAATGCAGTCAGGTCCAAAAACGGCGGACAGCCGCTACTGTATCCAATGTATCCTGTGTAAGTCGCGCATGGCAACAGAAAAGATCACAAGAACAGCCACATCACCATTCCACAATCCCAATTCCGTCATCCCTCATATACTTTCATTGGGCAGACCTGTGCTTGAGGGCACCCCCAGCAGCTAAGGCTCGGGCTTGTGCTGAAGGATGAAATGCACCTTGTTCGTTGCACCACATCTGTCAGGGCCAAACATGATGACATAGCCTTGGTTGTCAGCCAAAACATACGCATAACCGTGAAGAGTGCTCCATCAAATCCGGTGCAGGGGCCACACTGACTATTCCGGCCCTAGTCTAGTCGCATGAAAATGGTATTTGCTCTACCGATCAACACCTGCACTGACTGCAGCTGTGCTGCGCGTGTCCGCATTAAACTCTTCCGAGCTTTTGCCTGCTGGCTCAGCGCTTCCAACTCATCTAAATCCCCACAAGAGTATCTAGGAGTTGTTGCATAAGGCCATAAGATCACAAGGCATTCAACCCCGGGTGTGGAGATATGTGTGTCTCCAAGTATAGATCTATGAAAGTTTATGATATATATTATCTGACTGTACTCACTGGTACTGTTAGTGGTGACTGGCGCATCATGTTTCAATACCAGGCTTGCTGATTGGATTGAGACTGTCCTCACTGGTACTGTTACTGGTGAATACCAAGCTTGCTGATTGGATTGAGCGGAGACTGGCCAAAAGCCTGAAGTTACCCATATACAGTAAGAAAGAACCCAAGGGATCTACAGTATATATAACTCAGGGCATAAATACATGTATGATCATGTATGGACTGAGCTGCCTTCACTGTTGAAAAGCTTGATGTAGGAGCCACCACACCTGAACATCCCGACGGTGCACATGTACGCTACAAAGGGAGTGCGCGCGCCCGCACTATGTGTGTGTGTGTGTCCCACCCTGGACAAAGGGTTTTCCACCACCATTTCTCC